CTGGTCCATATCAGGAGGCAATTTGTTACATTAGAATAACCCTATGCTTATTTTTTTATTTCAGTCCTACAAACCAGCAACATGCAAATTTTCGGAGCATCTTCCCAGAAGGTCAACGGAGATATTCCCCATCTTAAGAAACTACCCGGGCCTGACTTACTGATACCAATTACGCCAAAACATACTCACACCAAAGTAAGGAATGATTCGCAAGCGAATCAGCCTGAACCGAAAAAACCCACACCACAACACTTGGTAAGACCCAACAAGATCCCCTATTTACCCACATCATACAGTTCGATTGAAATCGGCGCAAAACCGCTTGTAGCGTCCTGTAAACCCCCGAACAAACAGATTCATAGCACGTATGACTTGCTAACTGGAATGGATACGTCCGAGTTAACTTACATGGATGAAAGTAGCGTAGTTATCCCTTCCCCAGTGTTGGAGAAAGTTTCCAGTCTTAGTAACATATCCAACACTGAGCAAAATAATGGTCTGGCGCCATCGAGCGAGTATTATGAGCGATTGCTTCCAAACGTAGACCATTCGATTAGTAATCCCAGTAGGATCCAAGATAAAGAAAAACTTACTCCGAATCCGTATTATAGCCAAAGTAACTGTAGTAGTCTTCGCAACTCTCAGCCGCATAAAGACCCGACAAATTTTCAGACGGTCGAGGCTCATAGCAATTCCGTTCGGATTCACACTGAGGTAACTCTGAGCTCGAATCGCCCCATCACGTCTCTAGTAAGCAAGAAGAGCTATGGTGACGATTCCCAAAAAAGCTCCTTTAAAGATGGAAGCACTAAGGGTTCGTTCAAGGATAGTTGCGCCAGTTCCCCTTGTGAGGGAATATCAGCCATATCGCAAACAGGTAATGCGGCTGCCATCATGACTGCAACGACCATTTTCAATAAACATAAATCCATTTCTCGTAAAACAGATACGGATGCCACCACGGACGCCGCTTCTCGCAGAGCTTTTGTCAAGTCGCTAGGGAAGAAATTTAAAGCCAAGAAGAAAACCCTATCGGGACCTCTTGGTGCTTTCGGGATGCGGCAGAAATCGAAAAGCGAAAACCGGGCCCGGAAAGCTTTGCGGACCATTTCATTTATTTTAGGCGCCTTTGTGATTTGTTGGACGCCGTACCATATTTTTGCGCTCGTTGAAGGCTTTTGCACCCAACCTCCTTGTATAAATCCTCGTCTTTACATGTTCTCGTACTTTCTTTGCTACACCAACAGCCCCTTAAATCCGTTTTGCTACGCCCTAGCCAATCAACAGTTTAAGAAAACCTTCACAAGGATTCTCAGAGGCGACTTTCATATTACTTAATGCATTACAGCGTGATATTGACAATAATTCTAGACGGTTTTCACCAATTAAATGTCGAGTAGTTGCAGTATAGGATACGAACGGTAATAAAAGAAGCGACACTCTTTTAGACCTTACCCAAATGGACATTACAGGAAAATCTTCATGTAAAGGTGTTTTGGTTGCAGGCAACGAATTTCTTTCTGGTACTGTGAAGTACTTGGTGTGGCTCAAAGTAACCATCAAGTTAAGTTTTTTTTAATGAAATAGTCCAACTTTCTTAGGCAAACTGGTATTATGCAATAAACTCGTCCTGATTTGCGTATTACAAAGGATGTTCCAATAAGAACGACGGATTTAAATTTGAAATAAAACATACATTTTTGAGGAATTTTATATATTTTTTAGGAATTTTCCTTAAACAAATTTGTATTGTTTATTTAGACATTTAGGAACACATTTTTCCAAAATCAGAAAGAATTATTGTATGTTATTGCTTTCATTATGCTTACACAGACCGCAGCCAAAAATGTTTAGGTATACCGACGTTTTATACCTATAATACGCATACCAATTTCGAAAAAAAAATGCATTTGGTAGAATAATGGCTTAAGCAACTTAAAATAGAACAAATTAAATTAATTGAAAATATCGAAATAAAAATTTGATCAAATAATGAAAATGTCTACTTCAAACGGCGAACTTTGCAGATATACAGTTATACGCTAATTTCGGGACACCATGGCCTATTGGCACAGAAAGTAGTACGTAGCCACAAAATAGAATCTCAACGTAATTCGCTCAATTCTCCAGTAAAAGCATGGTTCGTATTACCAGCAGCATTATCTGTTTATATCTATTGAAAAATTGTTGCCAGCACTCAATCAAGGGGATTTTAGCAAAAGAAGCAGGGAGTTTACAGTGAAATCTGCAATAATAACTTCGTTTCGCCCACATATACAAAGACACAATACTCAATGATCATACTCAGTTTGTAATAGTTTTAGAGGCAAATATGGTGTTAAGGGTTTTCAGTCTATTAGCACTGAAGACCAATATAGTAAGTATATTTCCTATTACATAGTCTGTTATAGGTGCATTTAAAGCTTCCCTAAATTATAATTTTCAGAAAAAAACACACATTTTAGTTAGTTTCTCCGGGTGCGTTTGATTCTTTTTATAATTTATTTTCGATAACCCAACAGCGCTTTTAAGTTACAAAACAAGCTAATATAATAATAGCCATTACATAAAACTAATTTACTTACA